TGTGGCCACACAGTTGTCTTTCCATTGACTTGTCAGTGGAGCAGCTTCTGAAGTATTGTTTACTTAGTTATTGTTTTATTGTAACTTTGTAAGAGAAGTGGCTCAAGTTCACAAATTACAGAAACAACATAGAAGAGTTTAACCGTAACATGAGGTATTGAACTTTTAACGGATGCTTTTATAAAATTGCCGATTTAAAAAAAAAAAAAAGACGTAAGCAAAAGCTATTTGAGTTATTGACCAGAACCTTTTGCTCATATTGACATTTACAATGCTCAGTAATCTAAAACCTCAAGGATTTCTTTCCCCCAAAAGAGACATGGCAGTATGGTGACGCACTGGATTTGATCTCTTTCAGGTGATTGGATGAATTTCAAATTCCTTTCAGGATTAAACACATTCTTGCTGTAGTTACGATCAATCTTTAACCATAAACAAGTTATACAGTACTATGATTTGGAATGTAAGACATTTGTCCCTTTTTAAAGCTGGAATTTGTACCTTATTTTAACTTACCTATTTATTTAACTTTGTTGAAGTAAAATGTACCTAATCCATTATAATGTGCTGTTATGTGTATGGTTAACTGTTATACTTTGTGAATAGTGGACTTCTAGTCCATGTCTAAGCACCAATAGTCTGAAACATTACATCACCTGCCTCTCGACAACATTGAGAGATTTACTGATTTCAGCTTTAAAGGAGAAGTCGATCTGCAGATGTAAGGAGCATTCAAAAGCAAGTGAAAGGCAGGAGAACCCTCTGATTCCTGTTGTGTCGCAATTGGCAAGTGTACATAATACATAAAATATGCTCATACAACCATTTGAGTATATGGTTACAACATAAATATGAAAATAGAATTGAAAAGATAAAAATGTTAAGAGCGAAGTAATAAAATAATTATATAGTCATAATTTCATAGAAAAATGCTTTTTTCCCCCGGCAGAGTGATGTGAAAAACATACTGAAAAACATGAAGAAAATGCCATGACACCACTGATAAATTCTTTACAAAATGCTTTTTGGGTTACAAATTGTGAAAAATATTCCTATTGTCCTCATAAAAACGCCACATTGAACGAGGCAAGTATATTACACCGCAAGGTGGGTAGAATGTGTGTGTTTTTCTTTTATACAGTAGTGACTGATAGGAAGGCGTTGTGCACTTTGGCTCCCTCAGGGGCCTTAGTACCATGAGTCATCAGCTCCTGGATGGTCATCCAGTTGTCCAGGATCTTCTTGTTGCGTTTCTTCATCATCTTCTTCTGACTGAGCTCTATAATGCTGACCTCCTTGCGTCCCTCACTGCTGCTCTGAGGGTTCTCCTTTAAGCTTTCCAGCCGACTACGCTGCATGAACTCTCGCCTTTTCCTCTGTTCTTTTGCTCTGACCAGGTGCTGCTTCCTTTCCTCTTTACTCCAGTACCTCCCCATCTTCATTTCACTCATTGCATCATCATCCGTGGTCATTCCCCCACTACGCTCTTCTTTAATCTTTAGTGCTCGCTCCCTCAGGATCTTGTCTCTCACAGGCCTCTTGGTGATGTAGCGTGTGCCGTCGCTGCGGATCTTGACCTTCCACTCCATCTTGGGCTCATCAATGGGCCTCTGAGGCTCTTTACAGACACTGAGCAGGCTGAGCTGGCTCTGAGCGTACTCCACAGCTGAGCGCTGCTGGATCAGCTGCATGTAGCTCTGGTAGTGGCGGGCATGTGCTGGGATGTTGACCTGCCTCTGCTGGGAACTGTGCGATGGAGAAAAGTAAGGAATATGGGAGGCAAGTGGCTTTAATTCCCCTCTGCTCTCCTCCTCAGCCTGAGTTGTTGACTCAGAAGGATTGCTGTGGTCGGGGCTGCTTCTTTTCCCTGGGACTGGAGCACGGCATGCCGGGATGGGGCTTGGGCTAAGAGAAGGGCCAGTGGCAAGGCCGCTGCACAGGTTCCTCTGGTTGGTAAGGCTGACCATTCTCTGCAGTGAGTGCTCCGGGGAGCGGTCCATTGCCAGAGGTGTGCTTCGTGAACTTTCCGCCGTGTTATAGGCACTGGAGCTGTCCTTGTCAGATTTCTCCAGCCTCCCATTAATGTCAGTCAGCTTACCCCTTGCGGGGTCACTTCGATGGAGGCTTTGGTTTTTGGTTGAGGGTGCAGTGTGGCCCGCGGAGGGAGACTGCTGGCCTTTACGAAGGTTATGGGCCTGCATGATGTTCTGACATTCTAGTTCGATGCTGCGCAACTCCTCGTTGAGCATTCGTAGCTCATGCTGGACGCCGCCCTCCTCCCCAATGCTGCACTCGATGGTGCTGCGGTGGCTGTAGAACAGGTCGTACTCGCCGCTGTTGCGTATCTGACACTTCAGCTCCAAGAGCTGCTGGAATCGATCACCCTCCGTCTCATCATCGTCCTCATCCTCTTTGTCCTCCAGCCGCGTGGAGCCGGCGATATGGTGTGTGTCCAGATTGTCTCTCAGGCACTGGGACAAACGTCTCTGGATGTGTGCCAGGACATTATGCTCAGAGCTCTCCATTCTGTCTTTTATTCTCAGTACGCTATCTTTATGATGGGGGAGTGTGGAGCAGGTGGGCCTGTCATCTTCTGCTCTCTAAAAAAAATGAACAAGACCATCCTGACATAGTTATTGACATATAGAACACTCAACACATGCATAATTATGATTTCTTTCTTATAATGATCCACATAAGGACACTTTTAAAGATTATTTTCGGTGGCTGTTTGAATTTGTTAGATAGACGCTGGAAACTTATCTGTATGTTAAGCTGTTTTGAGTATTTCAAATCATATGCAATTTGCAAGTATGCTTGCAAATTTGCAAGTATGCTTGCAAATTTGTTTTAATTAATCAAACATATTTACAAATGTTATATATGGTAATGAACTTTGAATGGCACTCCGGTGTTTTCTGTTTTGGCATCCTTTTTATGAAATGAGGACAGAAAACACCAAAAAGTCCCCAGAACTACAGCATTTAAGAGTTCACGAAGTGCAACCCTGCTCTGCATTCTCCTGAAGGATTACATATGCCGTTGTGCGTCACTCTATTATACAGCTCTTTCACTTCAGGGATCGTTTCCTCCCCGCCATGTCTTTGAAGTTCCATGGATGTGGATTTTTGTAGCACGCCATTCTCCCGACAAAACAGAATTTAAAGTTCTGATTGCTGATGTTTGGAATTTAAATGGTTCAACAGTCCCCTTCCATAAATATTCATAATTATTATTTTTAGGGCTGTCCCCAATACCATTCATGGGCTCTGGAGCTTTGGCAGTAATCAATTCAAAAGGACAAATCTTGCTTTCACCATTTCAAATAAGTATATGAAGAGTTTGATTCCATCACTGCCACCAGCTGGATCTGTAGTCATTTTAAGCTTAATATTGACTGTGAAAGCAATTATTGTTCAGTCTGACGGCATGGTATTCATAACACACTGGGTACTATGTTCTGTCAATCAGAGGAAAGGTTACCTTACATATATTGCGTTCTGATTCATTAGCTTTTAAGGGCTCTATTCTTACTGAACAGAGTAAATAGAGCCCTTTTCATAAAAATGAAAAGGGCTCTCCAGAGTTCTTAAAGCCAGATAACAATGCTTTGCTATCGACTCGCTAATCCACTTAGGCAAATCATGTTTTGCTGCTGTCTGACCTGCTCATTCTCCTGCTCCTCCTCTCGGGCAGCCAATTCCATCTCCTCTCTCTGTTGTTCCTCTAACATTTCCATCTTCAGCTGCTCCAGGAACTCGCTGTGCTCATCATCCAGCCAGGCCTCCTCCAGCTAATGGTGAATGAAGAAGGAAAGCATATATATTTATATATATATATAAAAAAAAGAGAGAGAGGCTGGTGTTATTTGTCAAGAGCTAAAGCTTGGGGCTACATGATGTCTCAAAAAAAAAATACTTTAGTTAGGTGTTCCAAATGGGACCCAGCAGGCATGGTTTTGAAATAAGGCACAGCTAGCATCGATATGATGTGGCGTTTGACTGATATGCTGCTCCCTATGTCTTAACCAACAAAACCTCACCCCTCATCTTTAAAACATACATTCTGATCTTAAAATCAAGCCAATACAATTTAATGGACATAAGACTGCCACCTTTGACCTATCTGCTCCAAACCATCCATCATCTGTTTGTCTGCTCGATGTGAGCCAAATGGGATCCATATCTGAAGACATCAAATTTACTACTGAGGGACACATTTAATTACAAAGAGTCTACTACTGCTCCTAGCTCATCTGCACTGCGGCAGAGTCCCTTCACTTATTCGCCATCGGCCTTGGGCCTGAACTCACTCCACATTAGCATGCCATTAGCTTTTATGGCTTACCGTTGGAAGTCAATTACAGTGGCGCTACATAAAAATAAAACATGATGAGGTGTCTCAGTGGTGGCTTCCACTTGGAGTGGTTTTTGGTGGAGGGGAGGGTTGGCTCCCCCAGATTGCAAAGGTTTACTCTGAGCAAATATAATGTAAATGACAAACATTCAGGGCTGTAATCTATGCTTCCTGTTCTTTCTTTACCTGTGCTAGGCCAACAGTAGGTGTTTTAGTCAATGGCAAAGAAAGATGCAGTATATCAGCGTGGTCATTTCTAACCTGCATCTCAGGTCTGGCAACCAGCAGTACGATGTTCCTACTCTCGTCATTGGAGAGTGCAGCCATTGCTTCCTCTCTGTCTTGTACGTCCTGGCCATTAATCTGAGGATGACATACAAACGCGATTAGCACACTCACTATTAAGTCGGATACAAGCGAGCAAACATGTATTGTATACACAAATGAAAATATTTGAACACAGGCACATATATATCCACACACACAGGGGCAGAATTAATTCTCTCCAATACAAAGACCCTAAAGAAAAACAAAGTACCACAATAAAAGTGGCACAGCACAATAATGCCTTTTTTCCTGGGGAAATTGTAAACACTCTGTGATGCTCTCTAATATGAAGCAGGACCCAGCAGTGATTATGAATGGGACAGTGGCCGAGGGCCGACAGAGCTGTTGTGTTCACCAAAGTATCCGGCAGCGCACATGCATCTCGCCGTACAATTAACTGCCCACTGACAGGGGACGTCCATCTTTTTGCAGGCAGAGTAATGGCCCTGTCACTGGTGGATAATAGTGCCAGAGTACTGGTCTGCCTCACAAACACACACACACACACACACACTCCCTCCTTTGGCTCAAATCAGTCACACAACACATGGTAGACACCGGTAGACAATTAGAATTAAACAGTGCTTATGCATCTGCCTCACGCATCAAATAATCACTTGCACATCCTGTTTCCCCTCTTGTTCTACTGTATCGATTAAAATACATTCTCTCCATAGCATACTACTGTGTTCCTCAATGTATAGATCTTCACTTATGTTAGAATAGTTCATTGCCTATTTGTGTTGATAAAATGACCAATCCCGGTACACTACTTTCAATTGCTAATCTGCAGCCAAAGCTACACTAATCAATAGTCTTTATATTAGCAATAGATCAAATGATGTGTAATCTGAAGGATGTTGTAGTGACAAACCCACAGACCCTCATCACCCAACTCTGCTGTTCCACCAAGCTCTACTGGTTTTCTGGACCTGCAAACTCCACTCTCATCACTCATGTTTCCAGCAGCAGCAGCAGGCAACTGTGTGCAGTGAAAAGGCTCTGATGACCCTGGGAAGGTAGGGAAGAGTGCTATGCTACGTGTCGAAAATTGTTAGCATCTAGCAAGCTAAATAGCCTTATATTTCCTTCAAGAGATGGTGGTGACCAAAACATAGCTTAAAATACAAGGAATATTAGACTTGTATTCATCAGGTGGCTAAACACACTGCTCCAAATAAATGCTAATGTTGCTCTGTCTCCAGAATGGGCAATTGTTTGTCATAACAATTTAATAACGTTATAAATGCCATTACAATTAGAGGGTATTAAAAAACAATAATTACCCACCTTACACACAGAGGCAACACTATACAGCCGTCAACCCTGACAACTGCTGCTCCTTGTTGGTCGCAGAATTCCTCTTAATCTCAGGCCTGAAGATGAAGTTAGGGGCTAATAACAGTCATAGCCTCTCAGCTATCCCACCGGAGGCAGTGAGCTGCAGCACAGCGCCGTCCTGAACCAGAACTCTTAAAAACCCCTGTTGGTGCTGAGTCGGTAACTAAAACAGCCAGGGGGGCAGTTCTCCCCCTCTAACAGTCACAGCGGGGCAGAGTTCCCCCTTTAATGTGCTGCCATTAAAAATGAATGGGCACTCGTGCTGGGAGACAGTGGTTGAGTGCGACAAAATAAAAGCAGGTTTTTTTATATTGAATCTAATGAAAGCTGGTGTGGAAGGGGGCCAGAGAGAGAGAGAGCGCGCTGCTGTACCTGTAAAATGCGATCCCCCTCTCGGATGCGTCCATCTCTGGCAGCGATGCTGTTTGGACTGATCTGTGACGGTAGAAGGAACAAAATATGCCTCTTAAACACTTTTAGCCTTCATTAAAGAGAACCAAGGAGCGCCTGAAAAGAAAACGGTTCTACTGATTATGTAGATATCACCCAGCTAGACATGTCGGGACTGTTATTATTTATGTGAGCAGCAAACAATAGGTATGCCAACATGGGAAGATCTTAGATGTCAAATAGCGTTCCTGCAGCTGCCTGGTCAGTTTTCAAAGCCATTAACTCTGAGCATCACCTTTATCACTTAAAACCTCCATTGTTCCCCGCCTTAGTTGTAATATAGCACCAAACTCTGTATACAGCATTTACAGCCTGTAACTGCGCCTCAACACATGATGTACATGCTTCTCCTGTAAATAATGCCTGTGGACAGGAGGGTAGGACACTCTTTCATCGGCCAATCAATCGGTGTCTGGGGCCATTGGTTTCATTCTATCCTAACGGGCGGGATTTCTGGAGATGGTGAGGTGCTGTGGTACTCCATCTTCATGATAGTCCACTCCTACACAGAGGGACACTCATTAAACTGGGAGGAAAGTCACTGGACAGAAATGGAGGGAACTGAGGAAATTGAATGTAATCTTTCTGCAGTTATGGGGAGAGAACCCAAACCCTGAGAGACCTACAACAAACTGGAAACTGAAATACAGATAAATTAAGGAATCTATTTATTGTTGAAGATATCATTGTGAGTGGCAAAACGACTTTGGTTACATTTTTGTCCGACTCTCAGCTTTGGTCCTTTCTGTTTAGTTTAAAACAATCTGGAGGACAACTAAAGAAAAAGAGGGTGAGGATGAACAGAGCACTCTGAATTGTCCGTTGGCCCTGCGGTAGACAGGACTGGTGACCTGTCCAGGATATACTCTGCCTTTTTGCCCTATACATGCTGGGATAGACTGCAGCCCCCTGTGCCCCGAAACAGAATTAAACAGGTATAGAAAATGGATGAACCTAAGGAAATGTACCTTTCAGCTCTTGTTCTTCTGAATTATTTAACCACTGTGCTGTGAGGTATAATGGAAACAAAGGGAGAGCAATTTAACTAACAACATGGCGTAAAAGACAATGTGGCCATTCATCGAGCGCTACAAAGTTGGGAAATGAAGCTTGTTGTAAAATGACCTTGCATTGTTTTTAACTCCATGTTGACGTGCTCTCTCTACTTATGCGAGATCAGAGCAACACCTTCTCGAACACATCCTGTATACAGTGACATTCAGCCACCTCATCTAAATGCAGCACACACCTCTTAGCCCTACTTTTTTTTGCAGAACGAACACTTAAGGATGCTGCCAGGAGCCACGGACCGCAGTGATTTATATTCTGCTCAGCTCTCAAAGCGAACACCTTGCAGGGTCCGGCTCAACTTCAAACGAACCGGAGAGAAAGTTGAGCAGAATGGAATACAGTATTTTTTTTTTATGCTTCCAACAAGTGGGAGATAAATGGATGCAAGAGTAAATTTAGCTAACATGCACATCACAACAACAACAAGACCTGAAAGTGTTTGTTTTTTATCTGTCATGGCAGTCATTTCATATTTCGAACTGACAGTGTCGTCCTGCAGTTAGAACATCGCCAAACTGTCCAATAATGTCATTTGTACTTGATGAAAGGGTTGAATTTTAATTGCTGTAACCAATAGAAAAAACCTGCTTTGCTGGCATGAATACTTAAGTAAATCATACATTGGAAGATGAATATTAAATGTCGTCATTGATTTAGTCTTGGAAGTGTAGCTTTCTCAGTTGTTTAGGCATACTGAGGCAATCTAAGCTAGCCAAGATAACTCTCTGTTTCTACAACAGTGTATGATATGTAAATGTGAGACTTCAAAGAACTGAAATCTGAAGAAGTCTGTAGAATATGCATATACCTTTGGCCCCAATAGTATTCATATTTCATTTCAGTCAGCTGGCAGTCGTAACTGTGGTGTTTGGCAAAAACAATAGCTAGCAGGAGATGGATACATTTATGTTGCATGTTTATTCACAGTATCTCCAGCAGCAAAGCATAGCAGGGAAAGATGAAACAGAGACGATTCTGTGTTTAGAGAGTTCTCAAATGAAAAACTTGAGTGAAAAGTTAATGCTTCTTCATGCCAAACCAAGTTGGAGATACAAGTCATTCGAGTCTACAATCTCGAACGGGACGTTATCTACTCACCTCACTGACATAGATGGCTACATCCTCCTCTTCATCTGTTCTGTAGCACAGAGTTAGTCCCAACTTCTCTTGGCTGTTGAGTCGACACAATTCCACTTCCTATGTAGATAAGAGGGAAAACACAGGACATGTAACATCAACACTAACAAAACTAAGAGTCTACAGACTGGCAGTGCTTTGAGCTAAATGATATTGTCTGATGCTAACTATGGGGATGCTAACATGCTGATGTTTACCAGGTATAAGGTTGACTATGTTCAACATCTTATTTTAGCACGCCAGCATGCTAAAATGTACCAGCTAGCACTAAACAAAGTATACCTGAAGCTGATGGGGATGTCATTAATTGAAGGGGGCATGAATGTCTTTGCCAAATTTCATGGCAATCCATCTAGTTGTCGAGACATTTCAGTCTGAACTAGAGGTGCACCGACTGACCCTGAAGCAAAGGCAACCACAAGGTCCATTTAGCAGCTGTTCATGGGTTGTTGATCACATCACACAATCTTCCTTAGGAGATGGGGTTTGCCCAGTTTTTCAATGTCCATTTTATGATGTTGTTTTGCTAACATAGAGGACCTCTGTAACCTTTAATGAAGAAGCAGAAACTGATCGGACACTTGAAATATATTCTATTCACTTATCATGAATCTTGAAGCACAACAATGGCTACACAAAGACTACGTTTCTGCTCCACTGAAGATCAGATAACAATGTTCTTCAACTTTCAGCACACAATCTGACTTGTTTTTAAGATGCTTATTGAGTCTGGATTGCCAACTCCCATCTGAGGTTTTTGAGTCTGAAAGTGTTTGATCATGAAAGACATTCTCAGCTCAGAGTTTGATCAGTGGGGGCTTTGATAAATGCCAGAGGACCTCAAGTGTTTTTCTTTCAAGCCTTTGCCAAGTTGTCGAATATTAGACTATAAATAAACTATAATTATGCTAATGCTACGGAATATACATATTTGCTGCAGTGCTAAAGTATTCCTCATCTTCCCTCGGGTAGAAATCAACAAACTATTGACTTACAAATCAGTGGTCGTAAAATTTCCCACGAGCCTCTTGGAACACAGCAAAGTACCCCGGCGTCAACATGAATTCTTCATTTAAGTTCACAACAGAAAGTGAGATTTCCCCCCCCCCCCGCTCATCTAATATCTAAAGTATGTTGTGAAGATGGAACCAACCAAACACAAGGTCCAATTTTCCCCAAGCTTGCAAGACAGTTAATGTACATAAAGCACTTTTCACTCTAGGTTTCCCACAACAGAGGTGCAGCCAAACACCAAACCGCACAAGCCTGTGCCCCATCGCTAAATGCTGAAACATATCAAGGGTGTTGGAGGGAATCAAGTGTGAAATGGCCTCGCCTCCCAAAGTCTTCATTAGAGCAGAAACACACCAACGCTCAGCAGCAGGAGCGAGGTGGTTGAGCGGAGAGGAGGATGTAGGCGGCTGTGATGGTTCTGGTGGGGCTCGGAGGGGCCTCACATAGAAACAGAGAGATTAATTTCCTCTGTGACAAGTGTAGGTTGGCTGGTTACACTAGTCAGATGTGGCTTTGGGAATGGGACAAGGAGGGGGGGCGGTGAAGTCTGACCAGGGATAGATGAGGGGAAAATGGAGAAAAGGCCAATATCGCTGCCACCTGCTGCCTCTGGCTACCCCTCCAAAGCGGTTTATAACCCCCCACTTCCTCTCACACACACACACACACAAACATCTTTAGGCTCAATTCCCGTTTCCTCCTTCTCCCTTGTCACTACTTTCATTCTACACTTCTCTGCCTCGGCTTTTCTCACATATCGACAGACTGTTGAGGTGTTTTTGGACCAGGGAGCTGCTGTGGCTGGGCTACACACACTTCCATACTCACTCATACACAAAAAAAGTAGTTCCTCCATCCCTATGCAATCCCCATGCTGACACACAAGTGTGTTCAGCAGAGCACACATATTCACACAGACACAGTGAAAAAGAGCTGAAGTAAAACGACATCATCTGAGCTTTGTCGTTTTATCTTTCCCGACAGCCTACACCTGACGGGGAGCTCAGATCTTTAATTGACTGTCTCAGAAGCGACGATGACAACTTCAAATCCCTGCTGCTAAGTAAGGATACAACGTGAAAAGGGTGAGAAGTTCTGGTGCTGACTACCTGAACAAAGTGAGCTGAAAAGAAATCACTGATTGTAGCTACATTAAAAATATTACTAATGATGAGCTACCACCATTTTTGTTAGTGGAGATTTTAAAGCGGCACATCTGATGCAACGAAGCAGTCATGGAGGTAATGGGAGCTACAGAGACGGCGCACATCTTGCATGTTAATATGATGTGAGAAGTTGTTGGATAACCGTGAGAAATATTGAAATCCCTAGCAATGTCTTGGAGACATCTGTCTAAAAATAAACCACACAAATTAATTGCTGAGGTGGAGGCATAGCAGAGGTGTGAGGTAGTACATCATCTCTATGTGGCTCTGTGGAACAAGCCTAAAGTTACTTCTGACTAATTAATGGCTAGATATAGTGCAGTAGACCTGTGGCTAAATGATCAGAGAAGATAGATTGCTACAATTACAGCATGTTGGATGAAACATCAACCCTGTGCGTTTGTTTAACTATGTGCAGCACACTTATTTCACCCTTTTTCTTCACCAGATGTTCCCTTTGCTTTCTTGTTTTAAAGACGATATCGTGTAAAAAAAAAACACCCACTCACACTGGGATGCCTCAGTAAAAGGAGGTTGTCTCCTGATCCATCAAAAGTGCATTCACCAATCTCCATCTCTCCTCTTTCCTTTTGATTTTTTTCCGTCCATTTTCCAGGCGAGCTCTCTGCCTCTGAGGCAGGTGATTGTAGCACGGCACGGGGACGAGGGCTGACGGTAAATTAAGGACTGCGATGGCGTGATTAGGGGAAGATTGTCGCCCACCATCAAAGCACATTGGATGCTGTCATAATAATCCCGCCTTTGATTACCAGTAATTGAAAAAGCAGTCACAAATGCATGGATGGCTTCCACTGGCAGGAAAAGAGGGGAGACTATCTCTGAGCTTGGAGTACTTTGCTTCTTCAGAACTCACCGAAACTAATCAAAGGAATGGTTACTAACGTGGTGTTGTGGCTGCATTCACATCAAGGGTTTGTAGAAAATGTGTGATGTTTCTGTGTGAAATTCAGACACGGCCTGTGTTTTATGAATCCAAATAAGCCAACCATCAGAAAGGACAGAGAGTTTATGGTTTGTCATTCTAGGCAATTCTCCATTGCCTAGAATGAACAATTGAATTAACTGAGATACAATGTACTTTATAAATCCACTCAAATCCTCCTCGCCTGGCTTGATAAGTGCAGTAGGGCTTATTTTAAAGAGGTTTTTGAGATAGAGGGAGACGTAGTGCGGTAGGGAGATGCACTTGGAAAATGTTATGGTGGAATACGACTGTCAGTCCCTCGGAAAAAAAAAAAGAAATCAGCATATGGTGTGAAATTGGAGAATGATTTATATGAACTGAGGTAACTTGGTCAATGTAAAACCAGTCCCTAATGAGATTTCTTGACCAACTACCCCTGAACATATTTTAAATCTATGCAGCCTTACTGACTGTGTATACGATTCTGTAGCCACAGACTTAAATTGAAATTGTCTGACTTTCACAGGTAGTCAAATGTTCAAACTGTGGAAATGTACCTTTACAGATACCTCTATTGTCATTTCAGTTCGACTCGGAGTTGGTTGGATTTAATTACTTTGGATGCAAATGTGGTGCTTCCTTTCATCTAGCTACATAGAAAGGACAGCGATACTCTCCCCGTCTGCAGTCTTTCATGAACATGTGCTCTTGTAAAAACCTAGTTAACTCATTTATGTTACTGTACGAGTACACGGGTCTAGCTGCACTAACTGAGTTTCTCTAATCTTGTACTCCAGTTACATTTTAATCACTAGCCGTAGAGCACCACCAGTAACCCTGCTCCATAAACCTGCATTCACTTTTTTGCCAAGTAGCGACAGCACAACAAGCTGTAAACAACAACATATCTGCTTCTTTAACTGCTAAATGCTCCACTTTTCATCAGCTGGTTGCTAACTTTGTCTGACTGCGTTTTGGTGTTCTGCAGGTGCCATCCAGAGGATCTATCAAACCGGTTTAGCTGAAAACAGCCGTGGTGTATCCTGTGGCCGTTAATCTATTAAGTACAAGAAAAATAAGAGTTATCACGAGCCAAAAACAGCTTTAAAATATACAGTGTAGTATGAATGTGTTTTTCTGTGGTGGCATCTGGCATTATTTCCACCTCATCAACTACGACTCTCACATGTTGATTACCCTAAACAGAAACATCAACGTCCTGGTGTTTTAGAAAGGTGAACTCGATTTAGATGGTTTCTCTGTGATGTGGTGGCAAACTGCTCTCACCCACTGTGCGTTTTCATCTCAAACAAAAGGTAATTTGAAGAAATGTCTTTCCTTTTTTCTCTTTCGTCTCCTTCAGCGGGGAGTGAGGGATCAGGTTGACTCTGAAAGTGGCTTTTCAGCTTTTGCCTACATCCAGCTCGCAGCGTTTTCAGTTGACATACAGTAAGTAGGGCCACATTAGCTCGATATCTAACTCGCAGAGCATGAAATAAAATAACGGTGCAGGCCACAAAGCATACACAAAATAATAGGATTTGTTAATAGCAATGAGGCATAAAGAGAGGCTTTAATATATTATATTTGTTCCGATTTGACACTGGGATTCAAGCGGGTGCACAAATCTCTTTAGGATGTGAAGAAACAGCTTAAGCTCAGTGGGTGGAAGCATTCAGAACAAATTCAAATGAAGCAAATATGACGAGGGAGGGGTGAGCAATCATCATACATCAGACCAGTCGGGGGCCCTCGCTGGCGATATGCTTGCACCTCAATGACTCGGAAATAAAAGGATATTGGACCAAGTAGAGAGCGGAGACAAAGTCTGTTTATCTCCTCCCGTCACACCTGAATCTGTTCATCAGTATCCATCTGTACGTGTCAGAGATCAACAGCCTTCGAACCATCACCTACCCAACTGCTCCTGTTACTTACACTCCGGTAAGGATACAGAAGCAAAGAAATGCGTTTCTATATTCGTTTTTTTTCTAGCACCTACCATACACGCCTCACTTTAATTGGATCTGATCAAGCTCACAGTCACAGTTAGCTGTTTCCTTCCAGAGTTGTGAAAACAATTAGTGAGTCTCAGGTAACGACGTCGCTCTTTGAAGGTTTTCAACTTTCTCTGTTTGACTTGCAGACAAAAAGTGAAAACATGGAGGCGTCTCATCATTTCCAATGGAAGCAGAGGCTTTTTTGTTCAAGCTGCCTGCAATGTGCCTCATCATCTGCCACTACTGTCCCCCTGGGATCTGCCTGTGGAGTCAATTAGTGTTTGGGACCTTCCACCAATTGCTAAGCATCATTAAATATGGAGTGTTCAGGGAGTGTGTGTCCACGTACTGGAGAAGTCATATGTGTGTTTGCTTTTGTACACAAGGGTGCAACTCGGTGCTAAATTTCAGCAATTCATCACTGAACTTGTTTGTTAGCAGTAAAGCCCAACTTATACTGGACTTTTGAGTCCAATATCCATAACAATAACAATATTATTGGCCACTACTCATTTTGTAACCTTAACCCAGAACCATTAAGCCACTCCAGCGCAGTAGGTGTTTTCATTGATGATATTTACAGTCGAAATATAAACTTCTCCGTGCTTTCTGGTGTACAAACTATATAATGGCAACACTATTTCTCTTTCCATCTTTGGTATTTTGGTACTGCAACGTTTGTACCAATAGATTAAATTAACCGATAATATAAGCCATGCTAATGAGTCTGTGAGGTTTTTAGTAATCAGTGGTCTGAAGTGTGATTCCTACCTCGTACTCAAACTCCTCTGTCCTCTCTCCGTCAGCTGGAACGGGGGAGAGGTAGCCCGTCCCTTCATAGTAATCCTGGTCCATTGTATGAAGAGAATGACAGCTGTCGGGGGGGAGAGACAGGCAGAGGAAGAAAAAGAGGGAAAGACAGACGGGGAGTGAGGCAGAAAAGAGGTGAGTTGGGCGTTACTTTCAAATGCATTCAATACCTCTAAGTGACAGGATTCCCTTCGCCTTCGTCTTTGCTGGAATTAGACGAATAAAGGATTTGTCAAGGGCTTTCAGTGCCGCTGGAGTGTGTGTGTGATGAAAATACAGCCCCTTGTTAATAACAGCATATCCACATAATTTGCTTCCTACTCTTGACAGACAAAACCCCCCACATTGTACAATGTAACTCCATTATGCTTCCCTGAGTCACTGAACAAGACAGCATTGTGAGGGCCTAACACGATGAGCAGCTTCAGTGCCACACAAGATAATCACGGTGGACAAAAAAAAAAACTTCAGAAAGAGACTCTGTTGAACACGTCGAGTGATGTGTTCAGGGGCTGTCTGACTCTCAGATTACCCAGCACTGTAAAACTGTCTCAAACAATCTTCCAGTCACAAAACCAGACTGGTAAACGTCAGATTGCTTCATACTGTGACGCTTCGATATTACAAATACAACAACACTTGGCAGAAGGTGCAAAGAATATAATTACAAATTTACAATCTAGCCTCAAAAATAGGAGTGACAAACATTTGTTACATCAATAAAAGCTGCTGTATATTGGATTGTGCACCTGATCTCAGATGAGGAGAAGAAAATGTGAGTTTTATGGGACACATTGATTACATTTGGGCTCGGCCTGGGGCTGTGAGTAGCCTGCGAGCACACGATGCACGTGTTGCCTAGCTTTTTATTAGCCCATTTGCTTTAATCACCTTGTAAACCCTCAATGAGTCAAAATGGATACGCCAAGCAGCTCCAATTATGGAAAGAAGGCCCCGTGGGGGATTGTATGGTGATATTGAGTGAGATATATAGGTGTGGTGATGATTTTGATCAGGTCATGTATACAGTACTTCAAATCCAGCGTGTAACACTGACAATAACACGTTTTTTTATGTTTTTTATAATGATCGTCTAGGCAAGCAATAATCAAAGCAAGTCTACAATAACAAATGGCAACAGATACTTAAAGAATACAAGATGTTTATGATTGTCGAGACCTTCTTGACTTCCCTGTTCTGTGCTCTGAAGCTCCTGCATTGCCATCGTCTCATTGTTTCATTCCCAAGAGGTGAAACCCAGATATTCCTTTATGCTAAACTTTTCTTGTTCTCAGTTTACTCCTCCTTTGAGATGAAGAGAATATAAACTAAAATGCCAGAAGAGGAAATAATGAACCCTGTTCCTTTTGTTGTTCTCCAGGAAAACCTCTAGCTGATACTTAAAACTCTCAAGATCATTTTTGTGCATATTTTTATGCCTTCCTCCCACATAAACAATAAAAGCATGTCTTTGAGGTATTTCACTTCCCAGCATCCAGATGAGGTGTGATTAGACTTCGAGTGATACCACACACACACTGTTGTTTTGAGTCACTTTGCACACAAAGTAACCCACGTGTGTCCTTTCATCTCTTCTATATTTATAGACATATACACGCTCAACAAACATAATTAATTTTACAGCTGAGTTATGTTTCTTTGCATGATCAGCTTCTAAAAAAATAGTACAGTATCATAAAGAGGGTGACATTTATTTTATAGATGTGCTATATAGTGACAGGGGAAACCAGATTATAAAAGTCAAACTGAATATTAAAGTCACTTCAGGCTGTCATAAATGACAACATTTTAGTGGACATGAATTGCTTATGATATTCTCAACTTTATCATACTTAGTGATACATTTAAATAAATGCTAAACATCAAAAAGGCCCGCACACTACACACATGTATTCTGTGTTAATGTTTAATTGGGAACAATTAGCCCTGTCCTTTATTTCTCTTTTTTGTAATTTAGTGTGTCCTATTGGTGAGAAGACTTGAAGGACATCGAGAGGCTCATTCATCAACCAAATCTAGATTTGTCAGACTATACAGATGGTTAGATAATTCATTTATATTTTACAGACGTCTTGCATACTTGTAATGCTAATCCTGCAAACGCTGATATTTCTGCTTCATAGCTCAACATGTCTCACTATCCCCCCCCCCCCCTTAATTACCTCAAGTCACAGCCAAAGTCAAAGCAAGGACACAACAACAAACTCCTGAGGCATTGAACAGAAATAATTTGTAATTGTATTGAATTAAATAAGAATAAGATGAATTATCACTATTATCAAATCACTGATATCCTTCAAACTATAATTGCTGTTTTGAATCACAATGTATTTGACCACCTATGGGTGAGCCTCGGAGCGCTCTCTAGTCAGCAAAAACACAAAGCTAGTTATTATTGTATCTAAATGTGCTCAAGAATTCACAGAAATAAAATATGTTAAACTAAACATCATAATTTCAATGACGAGTTACGTTTGGATATCACCGATATTTGCAACATCATGAGGTAGATACTAAAGTGTTTTGCTGCCGTTAGCTCGCTAATGTTCCCTTGGATGCAGCGCCACAAAATAGAGAAAACACTGCGCCAGTAAAAGCTCCAAAAGCCTGTGGTGAGGAAATATGACAGAATACATTAAATATGGATTCATAATGGAAGGCAGTGATGGGTGAGGGTAATTTATTTTGGTCATTACAGCTGACAGTGGCATGACAGAAATTAACAGCCCAGTTTATTTTTTTCTTCTTTTCTTTTTGTAACGACACGTTGTTTTTGTCCTCCTTTATTTGGGACGGTGGACCTCCAGAATTTTTGGGACGCCTTAAGTTACAAAAGTTGAGAAGCCCTGGTTGACACAGATGTCAAATGAAGTGAAAACAAAAGGCATTTCCGATTGTACGTACCTGTCAGAGAGCAGGAAGGGACAGACGTCAGGCACAGGAGGGGTCGAAGGCCGGAGCTTTGCCAGCGCCATGATGTGTTCAAAGGTGATGTCGGTCTGAGTGCACACATCCACCACATGGATTTCCTGAGGGGGGCCGTGGGGGCGGCCGCTAGGGGTCCGCCTGATGACCTGCACCACGACGGGGTCCTTGGCAGCGCGAAAGGCCTCCACAGTCTCCTCATGGCTGGACTTGGACAACTCCTTACCATTCACCTTTAGAGGACAAGGAAATATTATACACACATATATACAGTATATGTGTATTTTGTCTGTGATATTAACTCTGTGTGCTTTTGTTGACTGTTGATATAGAAACATTTGATGAAAGCAGAGCTGTTGTTGTGATTATTGGTTCAGCTGATCTCAGTATGCACAGCCAAAGAACCAGAGTTTTCTGGCTGAGTGACATTAAACTAAAAGCCAATGAAAAATCCAAGAGGGAAGAGTTAGATGGAGCTCATATTACTTCTATTCCTGCTCTTTATACCAAGTAAAAGATGCAGGTCTGAGGAATGGATGTAAAAGCCTCGGGCATACACCTCCACATACATCCATGTCCGTTAGTCTGTATAAACATTTGGTGCTCATTCAGTCTGCATACAGAAACACGGCGCTCTATATTCTCGGTACTACACAGCTGCCTGCTTTCAGGAATGTATCTCCGTCCACCTCCCCAGCCTCCTTCATCAGCACGTACTCATATATGACTTCTGGATGTTTATTTTAATGTGTTGATGTTCATTTAATAGCCTCTGCCAGCCTCAACCTTTACTGGGAAACTTTAGCATCAGATCCCAACAAAGGACCTCCATAGTCTCTGAATGAATATGCAACAAACTGCACGAAGACAACATTGTGCGCTCAGGGCTATTTTGCCATATTGCTTCTGCAGCCCTACAGTTGTGTTCAGGGTGAATGCATTTAGATAGAGATGTACATTTGTTCCTGAATGTCTTCTTAAATGATTATCAAAATGAAATCTGTAGAAATAGAACATTGGAAAACATACACACAAAAGCACAGTTTGATTGCAACATTATCTGAATGTTGGTTCAAAGCCCAAATGGCTTCTGGTTAACTCTGTCCATCTTCAACCTCATCTTCACAAAATGAACTGGATTTCCTGGCAGGCTGAAACCCATTTGCACTACAGCTGGCACATATAAAGAATATCATTGCTTCATTTAACACCAGTAATTTCTCTGGAAGAGAAACCATGATGGTGGAATACCTTAGAGAGTGCGCTTTAGTATAAACGCTGAAACCAGAGATTATAATATAGATAACAGCAACAAGAAAAAAGAAGGCAGAGAGCATAATTACACTGGCTTTTGTATTGAAATACAGTTTTAAAGTGGGGCATTTTGCTCGCACTGCAAACTGAAATCACTTTAAATGATAACCGTGGAAGAATACAGCAAGGTTGGGCCTAAATTCAGGAGCAGTCAACAGTTTGTATATTTGGTGTCTCTAAATGAAACGATACAGAAGTCATGGGGGAACGCCTACAGAGAGAGCGTTCATTTTCAACCCTATAGATGTTCCACCACTTACTCTTCACTCGTGCATGTGCTATGACACATCTCACTGGATTCGAGTACATTTTGAAAAATGACTCGACATGTTTCAAGCAGCATTAAAGTATTGACAGACGCTGACAGCATAAATGCTAGCAGAAAGCCAGGCTCAGCGGAGATGTTTTGTACAATAAATATGTCTGTTTCTTGTGTCTTTGCACAGATTTCCTTTGACTTACAGTAACAGATCAGTATGTGGTTATACAGCACTATGTCTGTGTTTCCCAACTGTTTTGGTTTGTGACTCGGGCTGCATTTTATTTTTTTCTACATAAATTGATCTACTTCATTTTTGAATAAAATTATTAGTGATATTATTTCCTAGACTCCAGGGTGACATCTTCAAGTGTCTTATTTTGCCCAAAGACTAAAAATATACCATGTATGACAAAGAAAAGTAACAAATCCTCCAATTTGAGAAGCTGGAACCAAACAATAAGCCCCTTTTTCAATATTCTTTGATTGAAAAATGACTTGATTATAAAAGTCAAAATTATTTTTCAATTATCAATTTCAGTCAGCTTTTTGCTTCAGCTCTACTTGAAAACATCTCCATACCAACTTGGTATCCCTCATTATAGGATGCATATCTCTGTAAGCATTTATAACTCTCAGATTGTTGTTTTTTTGAAAAACAGCAAATATTAAACCACCCAGTATTAAAAAGACTGAAGAAAAGCCAAGAAAAACAATTGTGGCAAACATTACCTTCTCTATTGATCATGCCCAACCCCCAATTTAGGAACCACTTCATTAAGTGAACAAAGGAAAAGCAAAGACAACATATACCAAAATGTGTCTCTATTTCTGGAAAAACATGAAAAAAATATGTATGATGTAATAATGGTAATAATAATGGGTCATTCGTATATTCAAACATGCATGCGTGTGTTTTATTATTTTGGACTTTCACTTCTCAATGTGTGTCTTAAGAGTTATGTCCTACAAAACCACAAACAACGTGTTCTTCTCAGCCCCGACAGTAGCCGCAAACAAATCCCTGAGCTCTTGTTGTGCTCCCCTGCATCCTGATGTGACCTTTGTTTCTAGCGATATTGCATTAATCACCTGAGTGGGAGATAAAGTGGGTCAACACCACCCCAATGGAGCTGCAGGGCAATTTAGAGGAAAAGTGCAGTTGCACAGCCTCCCTCATCCCTCGTTCCCTTATACTCCAAACCGGCTTTCATTCAGTTTTTTGCCCAGTCAGCAGGTATTAAGCACAGCAGCATGTACATTAGAGTTAAGCACTGTATTAAAGAAACATGGAGCACTATAAGAATACATTATATAATATAATAATTAGCTTATATAGTTCCTAGAGTACTCCGTCTCTCTCTCGGTCTTATTTTCCTGCTTTTGTCTCGCTCCACGGGCTAATCCTAGAACAGGGAGCCTGGTGGAAACAAAGGAGTTGGAGCAGACAAATGAGGCAGCCTATGGCGTATGACAGTCCCGAAAAAAAATGATCAAATTTCCCAGCTCTCCCTCTGGTACACCCTGTCTGGTCCAGACTCCTCCTACCAAGCCTCGATGCTTGCTCGCCATACTTCATGACCATAATGAAACAAGAGGAAACACGTCAGGAAAAAGAAGAGGGAGTGTTGGTTTTTTTTTAATTCTCTTCAATGGTTTTCATAAGAGCCAGATGGAACAATGAATCCCCAATCAACACAAGAATATAAAGTAGCCTTAACTACAGCATGAGGGACTTTTCCATCCTTGTGGTGTCCCGTTGGCTGATGCCTTTCCAGCTAAACAAACTGCCTCCGTTTGCTGTGTAGGATCTGTAGTCCTATCTGACAGATGGGAAGGGTTTCTATAGGCCTGGCTGCAGCTTCCTACAAACTCGCAGATATTCTCAGAGTGATGATCTGTCTTCAGCACAGTCCTCGAGAAGTCTTGCGACAGCTCTGCAAAGTGCATCATCAGCTAGCATGCCTAAAGTTACCGAAGGTGACTACACGGCAGAATTTCAATGGGAATCATTTTTTGGAATTGGCTTATTTCCCAAGTATCCTTAATCTTGTCAAATTTAAAACACCATTTCTTTCCACATTCACTCCCTAACACTCAGCACACGCTTTAGCCTCTTAAAAGTTTCATCACACATATTTTGATGTAGTCACACTAACACTAAGTGTGCATGCAAAGTATGCAAATACATATTCATTCATAAACACTTACTGGTAAACAAAATCTGTTTGCAACAAATGATTTAGCAGCTGTTTGTGTTTATCAAGTCCAATGCAGCTCCGCAAGTGCTTCAAGGCCAAAACTGCTCCGTTATGCACAGAGTCAACATGAATCACCTTCTTGGTCTGGAACAAAAAAAAGAAATGGTGATTATTCACGAGGGATCATTTGCTGTACAACTGGGCCAGGTGATGATCAGGAAAAAGTGAAGTTGGATAGAACTGTGCGTTGGGATGGAGTAACTGGACCAAGACACATCTGCTGGCTGTTTGCACATGGCTTTGCAGCAGCTGTAGCCAGATGAGAAATGTGTTTTCACTCATAGCCCCCTGAGACGACCACCAGCCTTCCCACAACAAATGCAGTAAACCAGCTTAGTGGAGTATAACGAATGCATGAAACCTTCTCTTTCTTTTTCTCAGTGGCCCGTACTGACAAAGACATCCAAAGATTGTGCACTTCTGACGCAGCCGAGTGCATTAAGTCTGCGCTTCAGTAAATATCACGCGTCACTTTAAGCTGTTCTGAGCTGTTGAGCGCAACAAACTGACTCACTGGGAAACTTCACCAGAAAGTCACTGTTGGTACAACTATGAGCCTGTAGTCGCCTACAGCAAAGCACAATCCTGAAGGTTCCCTCATCTGTGTCCCATCTTATCGAGCATCCTCCAGGTTATGAGGACAAGCAAGAAAGAACAAACGCGGAGCAGCTTAGCTGGACTCCTCAGGCGTCTCCTTTGTCAGTGCCTTTGTCTCGTCGACTGCTGCCTTCCATCAATATCTCCAAAGACCGAGGGCAGAATGTAGTGACAGTGGTAGTAAAGTGGGGCCAGTTTATCTGTTAAGATGTCAACTTCAGCCACATCTGATGCTGCTTCTGCCAAGGGACCATTTCTACGGCAGGAGGCACAGACACCGCCGGCAGCTTGCAGGGGGATTACTGATAGAAGTGATTGATGTACTTCTTCTGCGAGGGGAAACGGTAGCCCCAGGCAGTAGACTCTAATAGTCCATTAGCTTTTTTATGCCTTCGAATTAACTGCATACATTGCTTTATGGCGTGCATGTGGCACTTTGAATCTTAATGAAATGTTTTTGTTTTTAATTTTATAGAGTTTAGGCTGTGCACAAGGAGAACGCGTCTTCACTCGTTGAACTGGGAAAGCACTGAATTGAAAGGTCATCCTTTCTGCTTCAGCTACACAGACAAGTAAACAAGGCTTTCAGAAAGAGCATCGGAGGCTATTTAACCAGCGTGTGTAACCTTGGGTGTTGTGCTTAACATCTGTACATGCAGTGAGCCTCCGTTACACACAGTCTATATCTCCTGTGTGCCGTCACCTGCTGGTTTGAGTGGCAGCCTGTGGGGTGTTAAGTGTATGCAGGCAGATGGAGAAAGTGTAACATGTAGGTCATCCAGCCCCAGGAGTGTAGCGCTTACAACCGTCGATTACACGGCTGTTCTCGCTCCTCATCTTTAGAGGAGAAGCAACCTGTCAGCGTTGGAGAGCATGGTCACTAGAGCTGTGCTCTGGACACAGAAGAGGGACTACTGCCACTGAACTGAGGGCTGATAGAGTTATGATAGAACTCATGAAATGTGGATAGGTCAACCCACTCTGGGTGAGACATGACAAGTCATAGTGGGATACGCCTGCTCACACAGGCAAATAGAGTTGGGAAGTTGGAAGGGGCAGTAGTATTTTTCGCTCCTAGAATGACCCATTTCAAAGTTTTTCCTCAATCATTAGTAACTCTTAACACGAACAACACGAGTCTCTAAGATAATGAAGTTGTGCGGATTTTGTTAAGTTTTGGACAGAGCCAGGCAAGTGGCTTCCTCCTGCATCCAGTCTTTTTGCTAAGCTAAGCTACTTGGCGGTTGGCTACATCATCATAATTAGCGTAGAGACATGAGAGTGGTATCCATATTATCCATACATGAGCATATTTCCCTAACAAAGTAGCTGCAGTCATAACATTTTGCATTTCTGATTGGATTCATACTAAAATTCTCCTTTGAAGTCTTAGTTTTTTGGGGAGCATTTTATGCCTCAATTTGTGAGACAACAGAAGAGAGGTGACAGCAAATAAGGGAAGGAAGAGATAGGGAACACTGTGCAACAAAGGTCTCTGGCCGGACTTGAACGGAGGATTTTGCAGGTCATGGTTCATGCCCTAAACCCCTCGGCCACCAGAGCACATCTAGGAAGTCACACCTGACTTCTCTCCTTAAGTGTTTATGTATACAAGCCTGCAGCTTTGGCTTTTTATCAAAGAACCAGATATTTTGGTACGCAGAGGCTCATCTTTTGTACTGATAATTTATGTCCACACAAGCCTCAGAAATCCTTCAACTACCACTAATGTAACATTGTCTATGTGGAACATGAACTTGACTTCGGGACCCTGAGTGGCAAAAAAACCTACTGCTCTCACTTTGCTACTCTATTGTTTGTTGATTTTCTCAACTGAGTCTACAAAACAATAGAGCTGAGACACTGCTGCCTGACTGTTGCCTCTTCTGCAGCTCTAAGCAACTGAACAGCAGCCGCCACACAGCAGCTCAACATCAATGCGTTGCAATTCCGTCTTTAAACCGGTGAAACTCAATTTGCATTTTCAAAGATAAAAAAAACTGTACACTAGTGAGAAAGGGAGCATTCAGTAGAGACGTGGAATTAAATACTCCCTGATGTAATTCCAAATGCTGGAAGGCTGAGTGTTCATATGAGCATGACTACCTCTCTGTGAAAAAAACGGCTTGGGTTCCTCTTTACACCCAAATGTCTCATTTCAATAATAAGTGTCAGAATAAAATACGGGCTAAGGTCCACTACAGTGCAGCCCTTATGAAGGCATAAATCACTCCCAGACAGCCAGCGCTACTACTGTCTGAGAGTGACACGAGAGAGAGTGAGAGTGACAGAGAGAGAGTGACAGAGAAAGAGAGAGAAAGAGAAAGAGAGAAAGAGAAAGAGAAAGCGAATACCACTGGGGAAATCTGACAATCCCTCAACATCTTTACATGAACCAATGTACAGGCCTCCTTTAACCCCTCCAACCATATAAAACACACTCCACACGGCCCCCTGGGTTATTTTTCACATTAAAGGCTCTACACGCTGCTGCTGAGGTTTTATGCCCGCAGAACATTTGATGAATTCTGCCAATTTTCTTCTCTGAGCACCAATCGTGTGTGGAGTACTCCCTTTATTGCGCAACCCGTTCTAAGTGTATCAGCTCATTCTATCTGCTCTAAAATTCATGGTCCGCCTTTTTTTACATGCTTTTATTATCCAATCTCGTTCCGCAATCGCTCAGCGCAAGGACAACTGGACAAAGGGAGATGAGATCTTATGATGAACTCTCCCAACACTCAATGTCAAAAGTGTTGAGTAGCAGTGTCAGTGACGAAAGCTCTAAGCTCTACTACCACTGTCACCGCCACCACTTCCTCCTTTGCACTTGGCCTTGTCTGCTGTGTTGTGGGCAGTAACACATTACCTAATAATGTAATTCAACAACATTGTCAAGTAACTTGCCAAACACTGATTGTAGGTCACTGTTAATTAAAAGCTGCTGTCGAAACCTGCAACAGCTTCTCCAGAGCATCTGATACTCACAGCATGGCCATAACACACACACACACGCACACACACACACACACACACACACACACGCACACACACACATTGAAGTGTGCTCACAGATGGGACAGGCAGAAAGGAAAAGACTCACATGCATCCAGTGGTGCTCACAATGCTGCACACAAAAGACTGTTGGGTAAACATTTCATCAGATTTCCTATTGTGCTTTGCCCTTTTTGTCAGATGCTCAGTGTAATAATTTCCATGATATCCTCCTGTTCTGCTTAGGATCACTTTC